GGTTCACAGCCCAGTAATGGACCACAACCAGGGGGTTGGGGACCCCTCCTGTAAAATCTTTAAAATAACAGAATATAGAAGGAATTTTGTAATACAAACTTCCTTTACATAATAGCTTACACAATAAGTCTTATTTCATAAGTTAGCCAATTTTCTCAATAAATTTTTATTCCACTCCATTTTGCTTTGCATGCATTCTCTGGTTTGTTGCTACGCCAAAAACATTTAAAACCATAACAAGATCTCATTTACCTCCAATCTGCCATTAAGGAATTAAGAAAGTAAGAAGCTTTAGAGAGTTTTCCTAAACTTCCCGTTAACGGAGACAGGAAGAATACTTTATTTCTTACGCGAAGTATGAAGGAGAGAGATGTATTTTCACAATGGCTTCTATTTTTGCATTCTGGACTTGGTTCACTCTTCAATATGGTACAAAATTACCTCAACTCTGCCAGCCAGAAGGGATATACAGATGCTTTATTAGCAAGGAATTTCAGAAACTATCAAGAAGCCTAGATCAATACACAGTCTTGCACTAAATCCTCTTTCAACTATATTCTTGAACACTGGAAATGGATATTTTTTCACCATTAGATGCTTTCAAAAATAATTCATTTCTATTATATTTAGATTTCTGAACTCATAGTGATAATGTATTTTGCCAAATATATAAAAAACATTATTGAAAGTATAGGGTAAATCTGGATGGAGGAAAATATCATGACGGTGTTATTAAAGTAGATTATTTTTTTAAAGAAAGGGATAAAAATAGAGAGTAAAAAGGAGATCAAAGTCAAAAGTCAAAAGTGGATTTAAAAGTAGATTATTTTTTTAAAAGGAACAATGGCCTTCAGTGAGCAGGGATTTTAAGATGCATTTATATCACTCTCCACATGATCTGTGTGACACTAAAAGATCAGAATACAAAGTGTGGCAAAGACAGATGTTCAAATTAGATTTCTGCTCATTGACAGAACTACAAACTATTTCAAGAATCCCATGATGTACATTTTATACTGCTGATTGGAATTGTTGAAAACTAGCCAAACCTTAGCGTGAGGTAAATATAATACACAACACATCTAAACAACGCATTGCTTTTTCTGCTGGTTGCACATAGTAAATAATGAATCTTTCGTAAATGAATGGAAGTAATTCTGCAAAATCAAGGTATTTTATTTATATAAAAATAAAACAGATATTTATTTCATTTTATAGAATCCAACGGAACAGAGTTAGGTTCAAAATTCAAATCACTTTATGGTGGTCGTTAACCAGCAGAACAGTTGGGTTCAGAGTTAGAAATGCTAGACCAGCTGCTCTTATGCAGCTCAATCTTCTGGAGGACCATCCTTCCAGAAATATGGATGGGGCCTTCCCTCCTGGGCATTTGGAAAGCCTTTGAAAACTGAATTAAAGGTTACTGTGGTTGTGAGTCCTTTGTGGTAGTGTTCTCTTATAGCTGCCAGGGTTGCTTTGTTTTTAAATTGTACCATTTGCCAATATTGTAAAGAAGGGATGCACTTTCATGAAACATAGATTCGCTAAGATTTTATATCATCTGGAAATAAGTTAGGGAAAAACTCCAAGATATTTCAGCAAAACTATGACAACGGAGGTTAAAAAAATAATTATGCAAATATAATAGGATACAAAAAAAAAGATAGATAGATAGATAGATAGATAGATAGATAGATAGATAGATAGATAGATAGATAGATAGATAGATAGATAAGCAATGATCCATACCCAAATAAGGCAGATTTGTTTCTCAAGATATTATTTGCCATTATTTAACAACTATGATTAATTTATAAGTTTATATACTTTATGTATAAATTTTATACACTGCTCAATTCCAACACAAAGGACAGAGGTAGGTGATGAGTCCAGTTCAGTTCTGATAGTCAGAAGTTTTGAATTTTATCCTTTTTTTTCTATTTTCATATCTGGTTCTGGCTGGCTGACTTAGCAAAATATACCAATATACAGATCCTACAAATCTGAAATCTGTCCTCCCATATTTTAGAGCACAGAATATTTTAATCTATGACCATACTGCTTCTTTAAGTTGAGGTCATTAAATCTGTCAACAAGAAGTAGTGATATAGTATTATAATCTCAGATTTTGACAATGTCAGTGACTTTTGACCTTTTCTTTTATTATGTGGTCAGCTGTGCTGACCAAAGAAAGCTGAAACTAATCTTTGAGACACAAAAGCTTCAAATAGTGCTTTTCTATTTCATGAGAAATGTAATTCAAATGCAGAACTCTCCTATGTGCATTAACAAATTATTATAAAAGAAATTTAAAGCATATAAATAGTAGATTAAAAGAGACACTGCTGCTTACTAGAATCATACTATTTCTTTATCTTATTTCTGATAAGTTCATTCTAGGTGATATATTTCCTGTGTATATAAACTAAGGTAGAACATGAGATAGCTATTAGAACTGGATCACTAACTAGTTAATTTGTTTTAGTTACTGATAATACTGAACTTTATTTTTCACATTTAAAACAACATTTTTTTAAAAAAAAGTGTTTTAACAGGATATATAATTGGAGGCTGTAAGTTACATATCCTACATCAGACACGATTGTCCATATAATTTGAACGGTAGTCTCTTTCTACAGACAAAAGAATTTTCAAGGAATGGAAGTGGAACTGATTTGCTTTTATTTTAGTCATTAAAAATGTTGACTGATTTGGTAATAACTATGACACATGTCCATCGGGAAGTGAATCAATAGTTATTAGCGTTTAAAATATAAATATATAAATATAGAGAAATGGAATGAAAACACATTTCATTAGGATTATATTTATCAATGCAATTATATTTGAAGTAGTCTTTTGCTACTAATAGCCTGATCCTGAGAGAAATATTAGTAATCTATTAATAGTCCAATCCTGAAACCAACATTATAAACATGTAACCAAGGTTGAACATCTTACACTCTTTTTAAAAAACAACGCAGTTATCAGTAAAAAAGTAAGAATGTCCAGCACAGTGGCCATATTCTAAAAAATAGTGCATATAGATCAGAAATTACTACAGACTTATTAATTAATAATTTGGTTTCATGAATTTATATCTGGTCTCATCCAAATCAGGCAGTTCTCAATAAACATATAAAATATAGAAAGCTGTCAAGTCCAAAGCATAAACTTGCACAGTAATTATATAGCTGTGTTGCTTTGAATGAATAGGAGTCATTATTCAGCGATCACAAAATGTGAGAAACTATCAAAACACCAATGGATTTACTGCCCCGTGTTTTGTGGTGCAAATACTCAGTCTAACTACTAACTAGATCCTATTTCTTTTCAATTGCCACAAAAATAAGCTTTATAGTGATAATGGTTTCAATGTATTTGCCTATGTGATTTTTGTACTGTAATTTATATAGGCATCTAGTCAACAGAAATACAGTTGCTTTGAAAATTTGCACAAAAATCTATATATAGCTCAATCAAGTAACAAGGTTCCAAGAGAAAGCATATATAATCTCTAGCCTATCGTTTTATTAGTTTTTAAAGAAATATTGCAGTCATGTAAATTGTGAAGAAAGTAAATAACCTTTTCTTTCAGTACACCTGCTACGGATAGCTTAAACGGGAGGGAAATCAATTAGTGAAAGAAATGAAACATTTGACATATTCCTTTATAAATGCCATTATGCAGATTCTCTCCCTTTGGATAAAAAGGGAAAAAGTCATTAAGTTGCTGTCTTATTCCTTCAGAGTGCATCCCTAACCAAAGTGAAGCTTTAACTGAATAAAACTTGATTTGCTCACAAATACTTTGCCTTCTCTTTGTTAACATTTCCATTATGCAATAAGTACTTATTTTATTCCACAAAACAGTAAACGGAATCAAGCTATTCTCCAAAGGACCGGAAGGCAAACAAGAAGCAATGGATGGAAGCTAATCAAGGAGAGAATCAACCTAGAATTAAGGAGAAATTTCCTGACACTGAGAACAATTAATCCGTGGGCTGACTTATGGGTGCTCCAGTACTGGAGGTTTTTAAAAAGAGATTGGACAAACATTTGTCTGAAATGGTTAGACTAGAAGAGCTCCAGGTTCCTTCCAATTCTGTCATTCTGTTAAAAACCATGTACATTGCTTACCTAATCACAATTAATTGCAGTAACTATTCTCAAGAAAGAATTATTGTTTGAAATCCATCATCAACATGAATATTCTCCATTTGTCCAACATACTGTAATCCTTGACCTATGCCAAATTGTCTCTAATTAATTTATTCATTAATCTACCTTTCATATTTATATTTATATACCCTCGTCTTCTGAATGTGATTCTAGGCAGCATACAGTTAAAACTGATCACAAAAAACAAGCACTAAAATTATACTATAATAAAAACCATAATACATTTATTAATATTATTAACAAAACTGGGTAAAAGTATATTTGGTACAGTGCAGCCATCTCACCAGTTTTCCATTATCCCAGGATGGCTTACACAAAAGCAACTACTTGGGCTATGACCCTTTGAGGAAATAAAACACTGTACAAATAAACTGAGTATATGTCCATAATTAATGCTTATTATTTCAACAAAGTCAGTAAATTGTCTTATTGGATGAATATTTATACTTGATGATTTTAATGTTTCTTATGCTGTAAGCTGTCCAGAGTTGCTCAAAATAAGATGGGTGGTAAACAAATTGTGCACATAGTAAGATTTGGAAATCTACAAGATTGCTCATGCCGTATTTGAGCAAAAAGAAAGCAGAGCCTAAGCAATAAAATTAACAGAACCCAGCTGAATCTTTGCAGTGACATGTTTATAAAGTGAAATACATCTAGATATATTAATTCCTGAAATAACTTCACAGTGAAATTTCAGATGACGCAAATGCTTTATTGTAAAACATTGTTCAAAATGGAGAGATGTGGACTGCAAGTTGTGAAATACCACATCAAAAGCAGAGTGTCAGTGGGATTATACCGACGATGACACTTACCTCCTGAGATGTCCTCGTCAACCAGATCATGTTCTTCTTCTTGAATTTTGGCTTCAGGTCCTGATTGTTCAGGGGTAACGTTAACGGTCTGAATGGTTTCTGCCGTCACTCCAGCTGAAACATCAAGACACAAAACATTAAACCCACTTGTAATTTTCTCTGAATTAGAGAAAACATATTTAAACTTTATATTATGCCTTTATCACATTAAATAATCTGATGTATTGAGATGAGATTGGATAGCCTACAAAAATTAGTGAATTGATATCTCTTTGCCCAGGGTTTCCAGACTTTGACCCGAGTTCAACAATTTCAAGATTTCTTGAGCTTCTGAACCTTTTCAAGTTCTAATTAATAAACTCGGGAATAATATAGAACAAATGGTAAACAAAAATGGTACTTCCTGCATAGAAAGCAATGTTCTCACAATCTGGGTGGATAAAGTTCTACATTCAAATGAGGCTCATATTTAAGAACAAGAAACTTTGCAACTGACAATTGCTTCATCCCCAGTGAAAATCAGTAAAGATACAAAAGTACATTTGTCCTGTTGGTAATTTTGCTTCCCATCTGTTTGTTGCTCCTAACTTTTCCTTCTATCCATCTGTTCCCTCCCTCTCTGCTGAAAAAGGCATATGGTATGCTTATAAGGGCAGAGGTCTTCAGTTAGGGCAAGGACATGCAAACTACCCTGAATACTTAGGACACTGTATGGTAAGTACAATAAATGCAATAAATGCACTTCAAAATAGCATAACTATGCTTGTTGTTTCTATTTCGTGGCACGACAAAACCGCGCTCGACTAAAGCGCGCCCGATTAAACCGCGTCACTGACGTCATCAACAGGGCGACAACAGCGAGCGTGGAGAAAGAAGGGCGCTTTAAATAGTGCTTTGAAAGCAAGCCGATTCAAGTTAAGGTAAGGGTTAGGTTTAGGTTTAGGTTTAGGATTAGGATTAGGTTTAGGTTTAGGGTTAGGGTTAGATTTAGGGTTAGGTTAAGGGTTAGGGTTAGGTTTAGGGTTAGGATTAGGTTTAGCGTTAGATTAAGGGTTAGGTTTAGGGTTAGGTTTAGGGTTAGGTTAAGGGTTAGGTTTAGGGTTAGGTTTAGGATTAGGATTAGGTTTAGGGGGATTAGATTTAGGGGTTAATTTTAGGTTTAGCGTTTACAGCGTGCTTTTTTCTCCGCACTGTTGTCGCGCTGTGATGGCGTCAGCTACGCGGTTTCGTCGAGCGCCCTTTAGTCGAACGCAGTTTTGTGGTGGAACCTTTCTATTTTACTCCATTACTGATTTAATAGCATATAAGGGGTTAGGTTCCTTCTCTAAGGGTTTATTTTAAAGAAAAGAGAGGCTATATAAAGATAATGCATATCTTCTAGACTCAGCACCAAGGAAGGTTGTCAAATATCCATTGTGAGAACTAAAATTGGCCATGTCAAAAGAGCATAGTGATCCATTTCAATAACAATGCATAGGTGCCAATCATACCTTCCACTTAAAAAGCATGGTCAAGAGAAAGAGATAAGATTTGAGCTTTGAGACTGCTATAGCCTGACTCTTACAGTGAATGTGGCTTCTGATTTTCTTCGTGTTAATGGCTTTTCTCTCAAATGTGCCAAAAGTTGTGTTCTATAAGCTCCAGACTCCAGCCCTGGAGCCATTTGACCCCTGGCACCTTCAGGGCTGCCACCTTCTAACTTATAGTATCCACCCGAGAGAAGTTCAGACATTTACATCACTAAACAATGCAACAACCCCAAATGCTCAAACACAATCCAATCCAAAATGCTCAAAGCCAGAGAGATGAAAAGTAACGTCAAAAACCAATACGCCCAATTTGGTCAGAGGTCTCAGTGCTGAATACACTGCACAATCATGATTCTCTGATGTTTTAGACAAGGGTCCATCTCACCAGGCGCTGACAGAAATTAAACCTGAAATCTTTTGCATTCAAAATGAATGCCGCCCCCCCAATCACCCGACCCATCACTGTCATAAAAAATGGCTGAGTGGCTTAATGACACTGGAGATGGTGTCTGCTCCAGCGGTTCAAGTCCTAGCACAGCATGGCAAGGTGCGTTCCCATCATTCACCTTGGCTTCTGCCCCCCCTTGCAGTTCAAAAGCATGTTCTATGCGTGTAGATAACTAAGTACCACTTCGGTGGGAAGATGAGTCGGGGCTCTGTGGAGGCAGTCAGATGCCTGCCAGCTCTGAACCTTCCTGGTTGTGGCAGTTGTTTGTGAGGTGGTTGCAGGGAGGGAGGGACCTACTGTAGAAAGAGCCACTTGTCTTTCTCTCTGATGCGAAACCAGTTTGCCCTCCTTTGATGCACCTTGGGAAGTGTGTGGGCATTTCCTGCAACAGAGCTGGTATCTTGGCAATCAAACTACTACTCTACAATAGCATTGTGGTCTCCTGGCTAATGTAACACCACCATATGCCAACAACAAAAACAACAATAGTAAGGTAAAGGTAAAGATTCCCCTCGCACATATGTGCTAGTCATTCCTGACTCTAGGGGGAGGTGCTCATTTCCGTTTCAAAACCAAAGAGCCAGCACTGTCCAAAGACATCTTCATGGTCATGTGGCTGGCATGACTAAACACTAAAGGCACACAGAATGCTGTTACCTTCCCACCAAAGATGGTTACTATTTTTCTACTTGCATTTTTACATGCTTTCAAAGTGGTAGGTAGACAGAAGCTGGTACAGTAACAGGAGCTCACTCCGTTACGTGGCACTAGGGATTCAAACAACAGTGCTCCCTTATAATTTTTCCTATGTTGGTCAAAACTTCTCCCAATGAAAAGGAATTCTACTATTAGGGAATCCAAGTAATTCACTTTCACCTGACCTTTACTCATTGGATAAACTCAAAATCCTACTCTAAGTTATGGAGGAGGAGGAGGAGGAGGAGGAATTCTTGAAAAAA